AGTCTCAAGATCAAATGTAACACTTTTTTGAAAAGACAAAGTAGTAGAAAATCTAACATGAGACTTTGTTAAAGAAGTTCTTAATATCAGAAACAATGCAGATTGGAGCTGTACATCAGTGGTTAAAAAACTAGAACCAGATAGAAAAAAAAATAAACATTGCTGGGTACTATTATGGAAAAAGATTGAGAATCAGAGTGGAACAAAATGCATCTCAACCACAAGAAGTAAAAAACTAAATACACTTTTTAAATGCATACAAGAAAAAATGCCTATACTTAAAAAATTAGTATTAAGATGACCAAACTTGTATACTGATATAAAGTGTATAGTTTGCAAAGAAGGAAAAGAAGAAGACCAGGATTATTTAGCAACATGCTCCTTTTATAAAAACTATTGGATGAAGGCAGAAACACTGGCAATGACAATTGCATAGAGCATACTTTCAGAAGAGAAAAAAAAAAGTATTACTTAAATATATTTAAAAAAAGCAATATGGGACTAAACAGAAAAAGAAAGTGCCAAAATAAGAAAAAAGTTCATTAAAGGTCTTCTACAAGAAGAATTAGTAGAAAGGGTACAGAATATCGTGATCTCAGTACAAGAAACAAGAAATTTCCTAATAAGTATAGTAGATACTATATGGAATGAGTTCTATGAAAAAATTTGGAAAAAAAGATGCAATAAAGTATCTGAATAAGAAAAAAAGCCAAAAAATCAGTACAAAAAAGAAAAGAAACAAAAATAAAGCAGTAGAACAACAAAACAAAGTATCACACAAGGTGTTATCAAGATCAAGAGACAAAAACTTAAAAAAAATAAAAGATATAAAGAAGGAAAAGAAAACAGAAAGTGAAAATATAGAAGATATATAGAGGAATACAGTTAGAAAATTAATTAATAATAACAAGAGGTCTTACTGGAATGGCCTCAAAGGCTAGTTTGAATAGCCCTCTAGTAGTGAGCATTAACTTACTCTAGTGCAGCAGGTCATCTCTGGGCAATAATACAGTAACTGGAAGATGTCAAATCTAAAAATTAAGCTAATATTTGTATAATCATATATGTAATTCTCTTAATAAAGGATTTTGGCAAGGCTGTCAAAGAGTTAAAAAAAAAAATTATTATAAAAATCAAAATTCTGATAATCACTGTTAAGGAAGTGTACAAGTTATATAACTATAATTAAATTATAATAAAAACAGTAATTATTAATAACTAATAGCCTTAGTATTTAGCAAAAGCAAAAAAAAGTATTATATTTTTATAATATTTTATTTTTTTATTATATAATTAAATTATTTTATTTTATAATAGTATTTCTATGTCTATTTATATACTTAATAATCTTATTAAAATATATTATATACCTAAAAACTAATTTAGTTTTGTTTTAAGATATAATTTTACTTTTTTTCAAAAGTTTTTTATTTTGTTTTTTCTTATTTTATTACTAATATTATTATTAATATACTTACAAATTAACAAATCTATGTTATTATGAATTTTACTTTTAATTTATTATATTCTATACTTAATAGTATTAATCAAAATAAAACTATTATTTTTTTATAAAGAATTTGCTATAACTCACTTATTTTATATATTATAACAAGTTTAAAGATTATACTATACAAGTTAATTAATTTTAAATATACAATATATAACAAACTTGATTTACATTATTTATTTTTTATTTATATAAATAATAATCTCTAAAATACATATTTATCTTACCTTAATACCAAAAAAAATATATATTTATAATATAAATTTTTCTATACTAAATTTTCTAAATTTGTATTTACAACTAATAGTATACAAACTAATTACATTTTTATTATTTATAATAATTATTTTCTTAATATTTATTTATTAAATAAACTATTTAATTTTTTAATATTGGTTTATACTTAATAACAAACAAACTAAACAAATCAAACTTATTATTTCAGAGTTATTAGACCTTATCAAAATTACAAATACTAAGCAAATTACTAATATATATATATTATTATTATTATTACAATTAAATACCATCTTTACAATATTGTTTTTAACTAAAATATATATAACAAAATTTTTACAAGTTATTATAAATAAAAAAATATGAGTTAATTTAGTTAATTAATATAAATTAAGTGATTGATAAAAGTTATTTAGCATTTTATTAGTTATTTATTTTTTGAAAAAAACTTTAGTTAGAAATAATGTTAACTAAAAAATCAGCTTTAAATAACCTTATTACTTTATTGTTTATATATATATTGATTTATAAAATTGTTAATAACTTTTGATCTATTGATTTTTTTAAAATAATTTAACTACCAAAATGTTTGTCTTTATAAAATAATTAAAATAAGCCTAAAATTATTAAAATATAATTACAGAATTTTAATATAATTTAAATCTTATACAATTTTTAATTAGAATTTTACTATATAAACAATCAATTTAGAAATAGGTTGCCTATATAAATTTGTATAGACAATATATTTTTAAGTTAATTTTACATAGTAAAATTCTGATTAAAATTGCATAAAATTTGAAAATATCAAGATTTTATAATTGAATTTTGATAATTTTAGGCTCATTTTAATTATCTTATTAAGACAAATATTTTAGTAATTAAATTATTTTAAATAAATCAATATATCAAAAGTTATTAACAATTATATAAATCAGCCAATATGATAAAAATTTTTGCATAATCTAAAACTCAAATATCTTGTACAATTTCTCTAACAATGACTGTTATTTTAATATGTTTTAAAGTTTTATATATGTCTTAACTTAGAAATTCTTTATATTTATTGACATTTTATTCTGTATTAAAAATTGTATAAAAATATATAGCTAGTTTATATTATTATACATTTGTTTTAAGCTTTTAAATATTTTCTTAAGCTTTTAAATATTTTCTTAAGCTTTTAAATAGTTTTCTTATAAGTGTGTAACAAAAAAAATACAAATAACTAATGTTCAAGCTTCATTACGTTTGCTGGATCATTGCTTTAATTTTTTTTTACTTTTTATTGCCCAACGTCTAAAAATTGTTTCATAATTACCTACTTACTTATACAACTTTGCAGAGTAAATCGTCATATAAAAGCTGTGGAATTCAACCAGCATAGCGGGCTTTCATTCTGATTGGCTAATGTTTGTAGATCATTTGGTGACGTTTAAAATCTGATTGGCTAATAGAAACAAGTTCGAAATAAAAAAAATTAAAAATTATTAAACAAAAAGATAGAATTCAACTATAAATTTGAATTTAATATATAGCTTTTTAATATATTGATCCTGACAGCCATTGTAAACGTGTATCTGGTTAAACTTAATAAAAAAACAATATCTTTAAACTTAAAATTATATGTATAAATAAATTGTATTAACCAAACCACCTACTAACTAATACATAATTTAATAACAATAAATGAATTAAAAAAAACCGACAACTATCAATAGGCAATACACGCATAGACAGCATAAAAAACCAAACATTAGCTATAGAGCAAAGCATGCAATCATATAATGCATATCCCACGTACGCTCTATATTTAATATATTGTAACTTTTAAAAACTTAGTCGAATAACCTATATTCGGAAAAATGTCAAAAAACCAACTGTAAGTATTGTTGTTTTAATCGCTATTTTCAAGGTTTAAAAAAGCTTAGTACTTATTAGCCAAGGAACGAATTACCTTACCGATTGCTGAATTACCTTAACCTATAAGACCAAAGTGCACCCTGTCGCTAACTTCTGAATGATTCCTCCGTTCTCCAAATTATTTTTACTGTAGGTAGAATTAAAGGTGTAGTTTCAGAATTTATATGTGCCAATTCGTTTTCATGGCTGCCAATTCGGTTAAAGTCAGATGGTATATGCAGTGTAATATGTGACGATACATTTAGTGATTGACCAATCAAAATTAAAGCCCGCTATGCTGATTCAACCGATATTATTAATATACGACGCGAAAACTTTCACATTTCAAAGTACGTGAGCTTTCTAAAAAAGTACTCTAAAACAATATAAAAAAAATTTTTATGAATTGTGTAACGGATCTACAAATGATGCCCTGTTCATATCAATTGCTGAACTTCAGTATGCTTTGTACAGCTTAATTTGGTTCTTGGCGTATTATCTATTTGCAGATAACTTAGGAAATATTTATCTATATAGAGTAATTAATTTTATGTAGAATAAAAAAATATTTTGCTTTCATGTTATGTGCGTGATTAGAAAATTTTTAATTTTTTTATTTTGTGAATAGCAGAAGAAAATTCTGTCAGTAATAAGTCATACCTGTCAGATAAAGCAATCGAAAAATGTGTACCAGGTAGTAGATTAGCTATGTCTAGTGGTGTCACCAAAAAACGATAGTTTCGTCATCTGCCGTATATAAAATTGCCGTAACTTGGGATTTGCCGTAACAAAGTCCCAAATAGCAATAATATTAACCGCCATATGAAAGTGACATTAACTCCAATGAAAAATTTTCATCATATGATCCCAAATTCCGATCAAAAATTTCCGCATCCGTAATTTGGTGCTCTAAGTTCGCTACGTAAGGGAGAGCTTCTGAAGACAATGCCGAATTTAACTCTAATGGTTGACGTAGATAAGATGCAAGAACCTGATGAAAAACAGAAAACTCGTATTTTATGCTTATTTTCCATTTATTATACAGCATAAAAAAGTATAAAGTGAATATATTGGATGGCGAGAGTAACCCTTTATATACATTCCATTTTTGTAATTGTTATTTTTATCTTAAAATGGCATATTTTATCCATAATACTCATACGACCATTTATAGTAATATAACTTCTTCAATATCATAAACAGAGATAGATTTCTTTTTTTGGCACTTGGTTTATTTTATTAAAAAAATTTTCATAAACCTTAATCATTTATAAAATGACAAGATTCGTGGATGAACAAATGAATTTAAACAAGAAATTTATTTGCCTCACTATTACTTATAACAAACATTATGAAAAAAATTTACCTTATAACATTCACACTTATTGGATTTATAAGTATTGTTCGTTCAAAATGGATTCCACGTGATACAAAAATTAACGCGTGTGATAAGCTTGTTGAAAACGTTCTTTATTCAGAACAACAGTTTTGTAGTTATTCTGATATAAAAGCTTGTTATGAATCGACTCCGTATAATAAAACAAAGGCAACACAAGTAAGTACTTATGCTTTTAGACAAATAAAATTTGTATGAAGTTTAAAGAGTTAATAGAAATTTATAATCTCAGATAATAGAGACAGTGAAAGAAAATCTTAAAGTATTTTATGTATTATTGGAGCAATCCAAAGAAGATCCAAATCCAGGATTTGATTTTCGGTCCTTTGACCTAATATCTGAATTAGATTTGATATTGAATAACAATTATTTATACGAATTTCAGTTTATAGTAAATATCTCGTTTTAAATATGTGAACTGGTCTAGGAAAATGTCATTTCATGATAAATTATTATTGCGCAAATTTCACGTATCACACTAGGCATAAATAAATGCAGATCTGTGATTGGTTGGAAATAATTTTTAGCCAATCATGTACTTGCATTTATTTTAGATTTCTGATTCCCAGTGTGATAAGCGGAACTTGATCACATTAATTTGAAAAACGCAATAATATCATTATTTTATATCCGAAACAAAAAAAAATTGTGGCTATAAATTATGCATTTCCTAGATCGGTACTCCATGTTACGTATTATGATTCTTATATACATTATATCGATATAGTATAATGTTGCAGATCTTATTGATGAATTAAGAGATGGACACACCTGGTGAATTGAATTATAGCTTAGTGAAAAGTAGTTTTACAGTAAAAAGTCTATTATTAATATTTTTATATTATAGGCTCTCTTCTACTGATTATCACCGATTTAGTTTTGATCAGGGATTATCTTCGTATTCGGTAATTAAAGAAGATGGAACACAGGTAGATTTTGCGAATCGTGTTCTGCAGAAGTTTACATCAAAGCTTAAAAATTAACCATGTAATTAATTTAGCAACTTAAAGTTTTTGATGACATGATAGATCCTGGTACCATTGATTGTCAAGTTATATATATAGATGACAGACCAGCGATTGATGTGATTACAGAATTTGCTAGTAATTACACATCATGGTCAAGAGATTTGAGTG